TCGGCATACTGACTTTCAGAAAATTGCCTTGGCACTGTTGCCGAAATTGCTTCAATTGGCAGCCCCATGATGACATTACTCATAATGTCATCTAGAATTCCAATCATTCTGCAAAATATTTTACCCGTGTGCGCCACAAATGTGCCAAACCTCAGTGCTAAGTCAAAAATGCAAAAGACCTAAGTGAAGTCTCATGCTTTGTCCTCAGTGGTTATGTTTCCACAAACATGACCACACCGAGCCACTGTTGTGACCAGTTTCCAAAAGCCAACTAGTCCAAGCCAGGTGTATAAAAGTTGCAGGTTTTCTCGGAGAGCCCTTTGGAAATAGGTCTTAGCATGGTTTGGGTTGCTGAGCACTGGAATGTGGTTTCTTTAGCTGCACATAAATGCTCAGTTTGTGTGATCAAATAGGGTTCTTCCCGCTGAACTTCCCACACCTGCTTGGCAACTCTTGTGCCGCTTATTGTTTTCCGCTTGAATTGAAGCACGGCTATGGCAGCTGAGGTCAAGGATGCCATTTTTCACACTCGTCAGGGTCTGTCGAACTTTGCTGCATCTGTTCTGTCGTATCCCACATAGAACTTGGTGTTGTAGATGCTGTGTGGCTTGCATAAATAAAAACAAAACACACACGGGAAATATTAGGTGGTCATGTGCTTAGCAATGCATTTTTCTTTCATGCCATGAGAATCGTTGTTTATGCCATATTCAGGTGAATTTAATCTCATTTTAATGGGAAATCTCGACTATTTGAATCATAAGCTAAGAGTAAAGACTTGGCACCCCCCCCCCCCCTTTTCCCCCTTGGGTGGCCTCATGAGAGGCAGGGCCGGTCCGTAATTTCTGTGAGAGCATGTTAGCCTGTAGGCAGTCCTGTCTTGCAGTTATTCAGAGGGGGCTGCCTGTTTATGCCCTCTTTTTTATATGGGGATTTTAAGGGCCCCTCTCCAGGTAACATAACGAATTTTAGTTAAGACTCTGGAAGTTGTTGTGGGCCCAGTGAAGAGCATTATGCCGCAAGAATTTTTCATTTTTCAAAGTGGTGCACTTTGAGCTGAGAAAACGAATATTTTGAAGCACTGCAAAACCATAATGCGAGGAGGTGAATTTCAAACCCTTGCCTCTTTACCCGTGCAGCCTTCGCAAGCCAAATCCCTTTCTTGCCCCCTTTGGCACGCGAGCCGGAAGATCATGTGACGCTTACACATGAAGAGGTCATACACATGTAAGTTCACGAGCCCATGACGCGCCTGAACCAGCCTGAGCCCTTGAGACACGAGCAGTATATTCGAGCGGTATACAAGTATGAAATTTTCTTTGCGTCATGAATAAATGCATGAGTACTACACGAGAAGAATATGTTTTTATTTTAATTCAGCCCAAGTGCACAAATCTTAACAGCTGATCGTGTGTCTCCACGCTATTGGACTCATTCAGTGCTTCCAAAAACTATGCCATTCAACAAAGGTGTGCTCTAGATTATTTTATACCCCTGTCACACGAGCACTTAAGTCTTTTGAGTAAGCGGTCTTTTTCCGAAAAGGAGTTCCTGACAGCAGACACACGGCACAGAGCGAACTCCTTTTCAGAAGCGGTCTTTTTCGTAAACGGAGTTCGTCGATCTCTTTTACGGCTCCGAATGAGTAGCCTCGAAACCTGTGGGCGCCAGCGATTTTCGAGTGGTGGGAAAAAAAAGCGCGAATGCTTATTTTTCTGTCACCAAAACTCTTTGTAAAAACAAATTTCATATCCTGCAGAAGGTGTAACGAACTCTTTTAATGGTTATTTCCTTTTCTACTCTCGTAAGCAGCTACAACACGTCCGCAATATCACGTGGTGACGCTCGGTCTCGCGCGGCGCCATTTTGCACAAGCGAGGAAAGCATGGCAGTCGTGTGTTTGCCCGTCATTCAAGTGGTCAAGCTTGTATAGGGCAATGCCGACTCGCTTCTCAGGAGTGATGGTTTCACGCATGCTGGTCTTCTCCGACAGCTCCAGTGCGCACGGCAAGGAATTGCTGAACAGCAGTTGCTGCTTGATCCTCTCCTTGGCGGCTTTTGCAGCGTCTGCCTCGCTTTCCAGAGCGAGAAGGCAGGCCGTGAGGCTTGCGATCCTCACTTTTTCTTCCGTACGGTCGGCCATAACGTGCCGAAAGCAGTGGAGAGCAGCGAAAAACATATACGGTAAATAAAAGCCCAGTGATGCCAGACGGACTTGTGCACGTCGCTAGTTATGGGAATGCTCCCTTAACTAGTGTAACAAACTTTCACATTGGTGTTTCTTCATCTCTTATTCTTAAATCTATTTGAAGAAACGAGCAGTGCATGAAGTCTTTAGTTTGTACATTGTGATACATCGTTTAATTTTCATTGCTTCTCTTTTAACTGCTAGCACCACACTTTCGCTAGCGCCTTCGAACGAAAACACTAACAGGAGATCTTTGCTGCCGTGTGTCTGCGCCGCAACACCTCTTTGTTAAAAGTCTTTCAACTTCGTAAAAGACCACTTACTTAGAATACTTTTTGCGCGCCCTTGTGACACAGGTATTAAGCCTAGTCTGAAATTGTTGACATTGTTTAAAATCAGAAGTTAACTTATGTTCCTACAGCTTCCAATACGAGACGCACTGGCGGGCTCCCAGCTGTGTCTCTTTAATGTAGCCAGCCAGAGCAGTCGGCAACCAGAGCTCGCTGGAAGCAGAACATTTGCACACCCTTTCTGATGTGATTAGTGCAGAGTGGTACACAGCATCCAGGCATTCTAAGGCTTTACCGGCAGTGGTGTATTTTTGAGGAATAAAGGGAGCCAGATGTATATGCAGTCCGGGCCTCAAGATGGCGCGATAGCGCGGCATAGATGTCTGGCAACATCGTGTTTTGGAGGGAGGTGGCGCGTTGGTGGCACGTATTGGATCAAAGGCTGGCATCGCTCTATAATAGCCGATCATGTAGGCTTCCTAGTTTGATGAGGGCTCCCGTGGTCTGTAAAATTTTGACCTCCACTGGACATCGACGGATAGGTGTAACAAGGCGTGAGCCGGGAGCGAGATCAGAGACGACCAGCCACATTGTGACCAGAACGAAGACTGAACTTTATTAACATAATGGTGATGAAAGGGCAGATGGCAAGTCACGCCCTGGAGCGCACTAGTAGCTAGCGACCACGACAGCAATTATTAAGTCTCTACAATATATGAAAAGCTTGAAAAACAACGAAGGATTCAATTGTACCTTTATTTCAAAAAAGAGGATGACTATGGGCCACAGTTTCAGAATAGATGACGAAGACGAAAGTTTTCAAATCAACACAGACAGCTAAGTCTGAAAGGACTATACAATCCAATTAATGCTTACACATTTGCAAACAAAATTCATAGAACCAAACAACAGTCACATTTTCATTTGTTAAGGCCATTCAGGGGGCTTTCGCAATGACTTAGCAGACGAGCTTTCCACTAAGACTTTTAGGGCAGAGACAACAGTCACAATAGCTATAACAACATACTTCATCAGCCAAGCTAATGAAAGAAGTACAAAATAAGTGGCATACAATGTGGCAAATAGATGGTAAAGAAACGGCAGTACATATGATTGTATCACAAGCGCATATCACATCCCACAACATTCCCCAATAAACCGAAAACCTGAATAAATAAAATATATACATCATTTACAAATATTAGCCATGATACAATACATTAATGAATCCATTCCACAGACCCATTCTCATTAAAAAAAGGAAAGATTACAACGAAGTTCTGAATGTCTTGTCGAACTGGAAGTGTGATCAACCAATCGAGGTGGGGTTCTACCCCCTCACTGCCAGCGTAGACAAGACATTGTTTTATCTACAAAACAAAAAGATATATCTTAAGATCAAGTCACCCAAGAAGACACCCGTAGCCCTAAGAACATTTTTTCTTTTTTTATTTATTTTCATTTGCGTTGCATTTCTCATTTTATAATTCTTTCTCTCTCTCTTTTTATAATCAAAATGGCTATTTTTGGCTTCTGCGTTATTAAATTATTTTTTATTGGTTTAAGCCCATTATACTTGTGCTACGGGCCGTTACGGTATCAATAATTTTTTGTGGCCCAGAGGATCAGTCCCAGGACTGATGCTGGCTGTGCTCCTACGTCAGGACCACGACCGGCTTTATAAATAGCGACCTGCGCACGCGCCCTTCTCCTACGGGGCTACGTGGTCCAAGAAAAGCCGCGATGTTGACGGCGTGTCTCACCAGGGGGCACTGGGTTTAATCCTCAACTTCGTGTCGGCTGCTACAGCTACTACGACAGCGGAACGCGCGAGATCGTGTAAATCCCGTGCCTTTGCAAACCTCAGCTGTTTTGTTTTTTGTTCTGCCTACCATGACGTGAAACAAGACAGTATATACCAACTTCCAACCAACCAACTTCGAGCAAACGTAGAAACGTCAGCACTCGTAACGGTGGCTTGTTGCACGGGCCCGCAACCTGGGCTAGCTTTTCCTGGCAGCCTAGACAACATTGTCAAAGAATGTTATGCAGTGCCATGCTGGTTCTGTCTAATGAGGTATATTTAGCAGGTCCGCGAGGTGCACTCCGAAGTGCAGGAAAACAAGTAGGCTAGGTCGGCTGTTACATTTTGTGCGCGTACGTACTTGTCACTTTATCCTTTCGAGAGTTCTTGCGCAACTTCACCTTCAATTGTGGCTTGTTTGATACGCAGGTCACACAGATTGGTGCAATGAGCTCGCTAACTTTTAAACTGTATTACGGTAGTTGTACCTGCATTGGCCGTCTCGTCAGATTTATCGCGTTTTATGCAGGTGACGGGAGCGCCAACAAATATTACACGCTTTTTTTTTTTTCTGGGTTTTACGCGCTGTGCTTGCATTTGGGCTTCAAGGCGCACCGTAAGGACTACGGAATTAGTTCAAGGAAACTTGAACGTGTGACGAAATGAGGACACACCCAACTCATCTAATCCATGCATTCAAGCTTAGAGCAACAATAGATCACAACTTGCCAAATGTTTTATTCGTTAAATGACACACTGAATCACGAGCACATTTAGAGACAGTCTGGCCTTCAGAATTAGACCTTCAGCACCTTTCGCGAGGTGGGTTTCGTTTTGAGTGCCTTTTTCTTGGCGTTGGACACTGTGAGGCCATTGGCGGTGTTAGACAAAAATGGCCTCATGAATTTCTGCAGAATTACGCTGACCAGCTTTGTTTTGTGTGGCACACTTTTGTCCTCGGCACAATCAAAAAGTGGGCTCTTCAGAAGTGAAGGTAACACGACGGCCGAGAACTTCTTGAGCGGCTGAGGTCCCTTTACAAGCACGGAAGCCACTCGGGAGGCAGCTTGCTCCAGGTGGTGGACAAATCCCACAAATGGTAAGGTGGGATAGGAGAGGCCTCCCCTGTCGATGCCAGCAATGAGGGCTGTGGTTGGGGAGCTGGAACATGGAGCTTGTAGCTTCACCAGGCAGCCCTCGCATTCAATGTTATCCTGAATGGCCCGGACGAGGAAACCGGCTATCAGTGCCAACGCACTGGACCGCAGACTCTGCTGTGGAGGACCTACGAAAATTATGAAAAAGAACAAGGTGAATAAGTAGATTTAATAGCCTAAGGTGTCCGCCGTGGGGAGCAAGAAAGTGAAGTGGGTGCTCCCTCCAGCACAGCAGTTTAGAAAACAATTATATCACGGTGTCGCTTTGTTTTCTTGTGTTGTCTTTTTTCTATCTGTAACTGTTCACTTAATCTTATGTTTCAGTTCAAGCTGCGTAATGATTGTGCACATACATGGGTAGCGTTCCAGTGTAGCTAGGTGAGGCAGCAGGAGCTTCCGGATGTCTGTGCCAGTAGCAGCTTGCTTGACAGGCTCGACAGGCAAGGCTGGCACTTCACCCAATGGGGCAACGACACCTCCAACATTTCCACTCTCCGAGGAGTGAATGATGCCTGTCGTCAAGATCTTCTGCAAGGCCGACAGGGCTGCATACGCATCAGTAAGGTCATTTGAGCCATTCAGCTGTCTGATGGCTGAAAAAAGGGATTCCACATCATCACTGGAGAATTTCCCCGTCAAGACGAAATAGAATCCAAGCTGCAGGAGGTGCCTTGTGCACAAAACCGTAGACAGCGTTGTAACTCTGAGTGCCTCATAGGTCTCCTCATAGAGGAACTCCTTCTTGTGCAAGGTGCTCTCTTTCCGCTGGGCAAAGTACTGAAGGCACTCTGTCTCCAGCCACAAAAGTCTGCAAAGTGAAAACACACTTATAATCGTCACATCACAATGTACAGCTTAATTTGTTCGAAGGAACTGCAATACCCTTCGGATCATGGCATACCTTTCGTCGTCTGCACTGTAGAATGGCATCCTCAAGGCATCTCGACTTGTCCAGTGCAATGTCGTGCTTTTGATGTTGTGCAAGGCAAACCATTTTTGCACCACCTCCATGAACTCCAAAGTTGGCAAACAGTTTTGGAACCCGTTAGCCCCAAGGCGATGGCCGTGCTGCTGGAGGAACCTAAGGACTGAGGTGACCTAAACAAGGCAATGAGCATCAGATTTGTTTAAACATGGACTTAAAGCAACAAAACTCGGCCAGTCTCGTTACCTCCGCATAATAACGAATATTTCTACGGCCATTTCATAATGTTAGAGCCGTACAACCACACTGAGTTATGCGGCATGCAATTAGCTATTCACCTGCACCGAGAAGATGTCAACAGCTCTCCTGACGTTCATCTTCTCAAAGTTGCTGGGGCTTGGGTGTTTCTCCGTTAGGCACCTCACCAGCTTGAATGCACCTTGACTTTCCTGGGTCTTGTGCAGTAGCCTACAGCAAAGCAAGGTGTTACCAAAACAAATACAGAAATTATAAGGCACAGAAATGTTTGATACTACCTGAGGAAATCGGGAAGGATGAGCTTTCCCTGGTTCCTGAAAATTTTCTTCGCATCCAGGAACTGTGAGCGGATGTTCTTGATAATGTGGCAGTAGTCAAATGACAGGAAGAGTGGTCGACCTGCATCAAGTGGGTGCCTAAAAAGAAATATCCAATAATTCAGATTCAAGTAACTTTAACCTGTGCACATTTGATGGAAAGCAAACATTACTCCGTATTTATGATATAAGATCTGCAGCAAAGACGTACATCAGATGTGACTTCATAAGATCCCTGCACTTACTCTACAACAGGCTGTATCTGCCCCCCTGACAAGCTTGAAAAAAACTTCGTGTTCGACTTGTGATTGTCTCCAACAAGACGAACCACTCGAAAGCCAGCATCTTCAACAGACTGCATCACATTAAGAGCAAGATGCTCAAGCTGCTGTCCAGTCAGGGCCTTTGTAAAGTAATAACCGACCGGAAGCCTGCGAAGGGAAATGACAGTCATAGTTCAAATGGCAAGATTCAGACAGCTAAATGGCATGATTCAGATGTTCATGATTTGGTGTACATGCAATGGTAGCTGTAACGATAACTGCAATACCTGTAGTGGGTGGACAATCCCACAAAGACGAAGCACAGGAGGTGGGTTGCCAACTCGTTTTCCAGGCCATAGTCTGCCTCCGCACCCCCCAGGTTCACCAGGCCGTGAACAGCATCAGACTGTTTGTGGTAAATGGTGGCTTCCTTTATAGACATCTCGTCCATGACCAGCGAGCCACAGCGTGCCTGCAGAGGTGAGCACTGAAATATAAAGTCTCCCAGGTACCATTGCTAATGTTACCTTCTCAGAGTGCAGTTTTGCTTCCATATGCAGCCGCTGTTTGATCAATGAAGACACCACTTCCCCTGTGCAGGCACCTATGTACCGCTTCAAGGTCGAGCGGCAGGGTAGTGCCAAGAGGCCACCTTCCCGTATTAGGCGGTATGCAGCTGGAGACTTTGAGTGCCAAAGCACGCAGTTTCGTGTAGTCTCCTCACGCCAGCGGCCCTTCTTAACACCCAAAAACGCCAGCTGTTCTTGAATGAAAAGTGCCTTTGGCTCATTCTGTTCAACTTTTTCCTGCAAGCATTTGGCAATTGTTAAAATCTGTCTGGACAAGTTCAAATGTTAAGTAATTTTCTAATGCTGGTCATACCTGAAGTAGCACGAGGTTGGCTTTTTCCATAGCCAGATTTACTTTTCTTGCCTCCCGTTTCAGTCCAGAAACTTCCTCCTGCAAATCATTTTTCTTTCTTGCAAGTAGCCGGCACTTCCCTGTCAGCCTTGTGACCTGTTTAAGAAGCAGTGCCATCCGTGAAAGTGACATTCTTGTTTGGGTGCTTTTAGTGGGCTTAGGCCGCACCGAAACAGGCCTGGGAGTCTCTTTCAAAGCAGGCTCAGATGTGGAGGGCAAAAAAGAAAACGAGCAGGTTCTTTGCACTAGATCATGTGGAGGTGTCTGCGAAGGTGGCTGAGGGTCTGGCTCAGGTGTCAAGGTCTGCGGTGCATTGACTGAGTCCTCTGCATGCGCTGTGATGCCTGCTGTATCGTCTGCTGTATCAGCAAGAATGCCATCATCGGATGGGATATCATGACTGCAAAATGAATAGACATTCGCTCAGATTAATGTTGCAATAATAGTACAGACTTTCGGCACAAGAACTGCTCTTGCCTGTGCTTGGTAGCTTGCTTAGGGCAATCTAGTGAGACCCTCTTGCGTTTCGCCGGCCGCCGTGGTTGACTGGGTGCCGGCTGCAGGTACGTCGGAAAGTCGGGAAAAAGTGTCGGGGCGGCATCGGGTTTCAGCCTTCGGTATTTGGTGGACTCCCTGTAGTCCTCTGGCCGGAAATGAAGGCTGCAGACTTTGCTCCGGTCGTTCGGAAGCCACGGCTGTTTCCCTGGCCCTGTAAAACGAAGTGTCAACATGAAATGTGGTTTTCGCTACGCCCACAACAGACGCGTAGAAATCAAGCTGAAACTGAAACCAAACACTCAATATTGTAATGCAGCGCGTCGCCGCTGCACGCAATCGACCGTCTAATAAAGGCAGATCGTACTGTTCTCACACGATCACGGCAAGCATCGAAAGTATGAAACACGAGGACTAACGTGGTCCGGCGCTTCCTAAACATGCGTAGGAGTTTGTTTAGATTACTTCGGATTTCACAGCTTACCTTCGGCCTGTCGATGAATGTTCTTCAGCTACAGGTTCCGCACATCCGTGATCGGGAACTCGTGGAACGATATTCCTCGTGATGCGGCCGTGCGCCCGCTTGATTTGCAGAGCGGTACGCAGCAATAAACCATTGCGTAAGTTGCACCGTGTAACTACTTCGCCCAACTTCTTTCAACCATAGCTAATAGTTGAGGTAATACCAAGAGACGTGCATGCAAATGCACAAGCAAACGCGCCGATCACCCTCGCCCGGCAGCATACGCAGTCGCGAGGATGGGAGACGTGAGGATTAAAAGCAGCGCCACGGCTTGCAGCGGCGCTCGCGGAAACTATAAATAACACACCAAGCAAAAAAAAATCACGGACACGGCGCTGGTGGCGGATGCGCAGGTCGCTATTTATAAAGCCGGTCGTGGTCAGGACAGAGTGGCCAAGCCCCTCTGCCGCCACACCTGCCCTCAGGAGAGCCCTGAGTTGGTCTGGCAGCACGTCGCTGTGAAACGTGTTCTGCCACTGCTGTTCACTGTGAGAAGCATCACCGCTCGATGCCGAGCAGTGCCAGTGCCTGTGTTCTAAATCGAGCACTTACTGTAATACACCGAAACCACACAGTCCAAAGTGATTTTATTCAATATGATCAAGTTAGGGTGCATGCTCGTCTGCAGGACTCTTAATGTAACCAAAGTGGATATAAAATGATAAATCAAGTGCCGCGCCATAACTGTGTCTCTCATGGGAGGTCACCTCAACGTCCACTGTTGGGAATGGCACTGGGAATATATATACGGCATGTAGTGGGTCAAAGGCAGACATCACCATAAAATGGAGGGTCATGTAGGCTCCCTATTATGATGATGATGATGATGTGTTGGTGGCCGGCCCCTTTGCAACGGGGGAACACACTCATTGTCCTGATCACAAAAAAAAAAAGGATACACACTCTTAAACGACAAAGACAGGAGACACGCACATAGTGGTCTATGCTCTAAGAGTGCTGTATAGTTGCCCAGCACTCAGTAAGATACCAGTTTGTGGCTGCAACCGCGTGCTTCATGACCAGTTTACTTAGAAAAACTTCATAGTTACGCCTTGCTCCTAATACAGTTTAACCGGTTGTTTACTGTGAGAAGCTTTACTGAGTGAGTATGATAAGTGTTTACCAAACTAGAAACAAGAAGGAGGGATGACCTTTTTGGCAAGATTGCCATGTAACTTCAAAATTTTCAAACCACGAACTAAGGCTCCTATGTTTTGCGGGGTATTGGAGAGCACAAGCCAGAAATGCAACAAGGTCACCATGCATCATTTGCTTTAATAGATATAATTGCTGCGTGTGCAGACTTGTATAGTGGTGTTTGTTTGTATTGACAACTGAAGGAAATAATGGCTAAAAAAATGCCACCTTTGAATCACCGATAAGTGCAACAATGCCCATCTAAATTCAGATAAGATTGAAAACAGTTACCTGGTAAATGACAGAGCAGTTGTCCCACATTCACCGATTTCACAAGTTGCGCCATTGTTGGGATTTGGGCCAGTGGTAGGGACGAGGAGGTGGCCACAGGAAAATAAAAATTTGGTGTTGAATGCTCTCTCAATACCAGTGTTTCTATGTGCATAATGTCTACATTCAGTTCCAATGACTAACTAGTAATAGTCAGATGATTATGTTATGCGCAACCCCTGTAACAATAGAAAAAAGGCGGGACAATGGTTTACTGAATCTCGAAGAGGTATCTTCTCCAAACTTAAAGTAAAAAAACATGCTACTTATTTCGTAGTGCCAGCAATTTCACTAGAGATAGTGCTCTTTTCTCTGGAAGAGCAGGGCCTCCCTTCCTCTTGAGAAACCGCCAGCATGGGACACCAGTTATACTACGGTTGTATAACTCTTTGATGCCACACAGAGCCTTGGCAGTCTCTCGCACAAAGCGGGAGTCCTTAGGCTCGTGCAGCAGATGCTTCCACTTTTCTTGGCACACGAAAATTTCTGTGCCAAGGTTGACCTGTGCAAGAAAAATCGGAATGAAAATGTTCTATATATGTAAACCCTGCTACGAAAATCCCATTACAAAAACGAAATATTTCCCCATAACCTTACCCAGAATGTAATACAAAGCCACATCTATTCAAGACTACTTCTCTTTCAAATATTTCTGCTTCACCTAAGTATCCACAAATACAAAGGACAGGGAATTCAATGTAGCACTGCGCATTTGTGCGATGCATGCAATTTGGAAGACGCCGACTGGCTTACGTTCTGTGATTGCTTGAAAAATAAAGCCAACTCCGTGACGGTGTCCTACTCCAAAGCGTTTAGTGCCTCTTTCTTGAGTGCCAAAGCGTCATCCTTGTCGTCTTCATCATCGGAGGAGCTGGAAATAATAATTTAATCTTGCTCATTGGATTTATAATTTTTGTATATGGCCATGAGGTCTCAGTTGAGCAAAGAATCTATGTCGTACACGTCGTCCAAGTGGTCCCATATCGCTTGTGATGACATCTTGCCTCGTTCAAGGCAGCACTGAGCTTTTGTACGATGCATCCAATCTTCAAGACCCCGACTGGCTTATGTTCTGTCATTGCTTGAAATAAAGCCACCTCCGTGGCGGTGTCCCACTCCAGAGCCTGCAGTCCCTCTTTCTT